ACCATGCCAAAGACGGAAAACGTGGGAGCGCTGTAAACAAGAGGCAGGCTCGGCACGTCTGGGCTCTCACAGGCTCATTGTCTCATATCCTCTCCTGCCTTCTGTGCTGGAGAAGCAAAGATTGGCAGCTAACACATTACCAAAAGGATACTTTTATGGACAAAGACAAGATTCGTTTGGCCCAGTTGGACTGCCGTCACCAGGGCTGTTTTCTCATCCAGTAAAGCCACTTTCTCAGAAAGAGATCGGTTACAGGCAACTCTATGATCTTGCATTTCCAACGTATAATGTTCCAGGGGAAATTCCACCTCTGTAAGACATGAACGATACATAAATGTAAGGACATAGCCACTCAAACAAACAGATATTGATGTGCAGTTAGATTATACGAGAAAAATCAGGAAAGCATCCTAAAATAACAGTATAATCAGGTTCTAATTTCTGGGTACTGTGAAACATTCCTGGGATCCCTGGTGGAACAATGGTTAAGCATTTGGCTGCTAACTGAAAGGTCAGTGGTTTGAGCCCGCCAGCCGCTCAGAGGGTGAAAGATGAGGCAACCTGTTCTGGTCATGAGAGACAGCCTCGGAGACCTCATGGGGCAGGTCTTCTCTGTCCCACAGGGGTTCTGGGCATCGGAACTAGACCTGAGAGCAATGGGTTTGGTTCTGGGCTATGACGACTTTCCACCAGTAGACAACGCATGGGGCATGCTAGATGAGGTAATTGCTGATATACACTTGCATTCCTGAAAACTTACTAATCTGAGACTACCTGGGAAAACTGCCATGAGGTATGTCAAGAAAGAACTCACGTAAGTGCGGCTGATGCACTTTATAAACACACTGGGATCAATCAGAACTTTAAGTTTTCAGTTAACAGATTGGATAGCTTAAGAATCAACATTTGCAAAGTTTTAAAAATGATCATTCAAGTCCTTTCCTCACAATAAGTAGTACCTCTACTTGCCCCACAAAATATGGAAACTTTTTGGCTATTTTAGTAGGGAATTCAGATGCCCCAAAGAACCGAAGCCTGGTGACCTAACTATGTCATTTTCCTGCTCCAGTTACAGGGGTTCTGTTAGCATTAGTTCAAGTATAACAAATTAGGAATATCTTATCACAAAAAGCCAAGAACACAAAAAACTATCTTGTGTACATGATGTGACGCTGCTTCTCTTGTTCTTCTCAGCAAAAAGAACTTGGAAAATTATCATTACAAATATAACTGGCCTTATTCTAAAGACATGTGACTGGGTTTTATTTACACAGTTTTATTTCCTTGGAACATGCGAGGCCTGGAAAAAGATAAAATACGTTACCTGTCATTCTTCCCTGAACCATCTTTGCAACTCGGTATTTAATATATGCTCCTACTAAGAGATAGACATCATGAGACGGTATAAGAAATATATTCTCCAAAACAAGTAGACGGATCAACGCTGCTGTCACTTTCTAAAATAAAGGGGGGAAGGAAAAAACGAGAAATATTTCCATAGCCCTAATCTTTAAGGTCATCTTGCTGGTAAAAAGTATACTTCTTTTAAAATACTTTAGAAAGATTTTTAAAATACTTTTACAACCATAAGTCATCATTTCAGTTACCCTTAAGAAATGATCACGCATGCCATGCCTTGAGGAAAAGACTCTAGACTTGAGTCGCCTCCCTAGAGGACAGTATCAAAGACACAGTTCAGAGTGCAGCCTGTCTGACCCGCCCACATGGGGGCAAATGAAGTGGGGAGTGCAGCAGACCAGCAAGGGGAACACCGCCACGAAGTCCTAAGGAAGCTGGACTGTAGACAGTGAATGGTGTAAATTTTGAAAATATATAAATTATCAAGTGTTCGTGAGGGTAGGAAGGTTGGGGAGGGAGGGGAAAAAAGAGGAGCTGCAAGTAGAAAGCAAATGTTTTGAGAAGGATGATGGCAACAGATGTACAAATGTGTTTGACAC